AAGAAAGAAAGAAAGAAAGAAAGAAAGAAAGAAAGAAAGAAAGAAAGAAAGAAAGAAAGAAAGAAAGAAAGAAAGAAGAGGGTAGGGAGGAAGGGAATTCTGGCTTCCAGCATTGATGATGTTATCTAGTTGGGTCATGAAACGTCTGCAAGAAAACCATTGTAACTTCAAACGGCCACACAACAAAAAGATTGTAAGTTGAGGCCTAAGTGTATTCTATAACTTTGTGGTTTTCACCGAGGCCATGTTCTAGTCCCATCCTAGGCATGAAAGCCAATTGGAGGACTTCGGGCCAATCACCAGATGTGAGTTCTAGTCCTGCCTTAGGCACAAAAGATGGCTGGGTGACTTTTGAGCCAATCATTTTCTCTCATATCAACCATACTAACAGGATTGTTATGGTGTGTGAAATAGGAGGAGGAAGGAAGAAGTATTAGATACGTTCACCGCCTTGTATTGTTTATTAAAAAAAAAAATCTAAGAGCAGAATATAAAATAAATAAACGTGTTGTTCTTTTCCCATAGGTTGTGGAAGTCTCTGGGATAGCATTAACTGCTGGCCCGCCGCAAATTTGGGGGAAACAAAAGTGTTGTCCTGTCCTCTCTTTTTCACCTACTTTTCAAAATTTCAAGGTAAGTTGAACTAAAGATTGTTGTTGTTTTTTCCAAAAATTGATCAGTGGAATTTTGTGCTGTGCATAAAGGTCTCTGGGATGCAATCTATCAGTTGACCTCCAGATGGCATGGAAGAACAAGGAAATGCTCTGAACTCTTTGCTGCCATCCAATGTTTCTCATAATTATTGCAATTTTGGCCAATCTAGTGCCTTTTAGTAGCATAGAAGCTAAAATCAGAAGGCGTCTGATTTTTATGACCTTTTTTCCCATGCCTGTTAAGTGGATCAGAGGAGCTGCTAAATGAATCATGAAGTTGTTAAATGAATCCGGCTTTCCCCAGCGGTGATCCTGGGATACTATATCATAAATACATACTGGTTGCCAAGTTCCCAATTTTTGATCACATAATACTGCAGAGTTCTTAAGTGTGAGGACTGGTCATAAGACACATTCAGTTGTACCATTGTAACTTCAAATGATCACAAAGCGAATAGTTTTAAGTCAAGGACTATCTATAGAAACTGCTCAGACATAACCACATGTTAAGATGGGCGGTTAATAGATTTTACAAATAAATCAGGTAGTCCTCAAATTATGACCAAAATTGAGCCCACAGTTTCTGCTGCTAAGTGAGGCAGTTATTCAATGAGTTTTGCCTCATTTTGCAACCTTTCTTGCCACAGTTAAGCGAACTACTGCACTTGTTAAATGACTAACATGATCGTTAAGCGAAACTGGTTTCCCCATTGACTTTGCTTGTCAGAAGATCACATGACCACAGGACATGGCAACTGCCATAAGTACATGCCAGTTGCCAAGCATCATATTTATAACGATTACATTATCCCTTTTGCGACCACCTGACAAGCAAAACTAGCAACAGTGGCAAGAACGATATTAAAATGGGGCAAAAACTCACTTAACGACTGTCTTGCTCAGCAGTGGAAATTTTGGGCACAATTGTGGTCGTAAACCAACAGATAAGTCTTTACAAGAAAGTGGAATTAACGTATTTGATCTGATTCCTATCTTCTTTAACCTGCCAGCCCGAAATTGGAAAGAGATTGATTTGTTTGGGTTTTTTTGCTCGTGGATTTATTCCAACGGCAAGCCAAGATAAAGATCGTGGTTAAATCTTTAGGATGCTTGAAACAATAAGCTGATAATTTAGACCACACACTTTGTGCCCTCATCACAAACTCTTTATGCCATGATATCCATCACGGACAACCATTCTTGACTGGCATAATCATCCCAGAACAAATTGTTGTCGTTGGTGTGGAAATAGGATACCATTTGGTGGTGCGACGGCTGAAATTACCGGTGGCATCCTGACGACTTTCAGAAAAAGCTATGAATATCATACATCTTAAAGACTGTCAAAAGAGCAGGCTTTTCATTATCAGGCAGGCAGCTGTTTGGTCGAAAGGGCTAAGTTTTCTTCACGCCGAGAGCCAATGATTAAATTATCCCTAGATAGGAAGAGGAAGATTGACGATGAAAGAAAATACTGGCAGTCAGGCTTGAATTGTGAGGTCCTCGGTGCTGGGTGGTTTTCTTGCAGTCGTTTTGTGACCCAACTAGGGAACATCATCAGTGCTTGGGGGGGCGGGGAGGAAGAGGAAGTAGAAGAGGAAGAGGGGGACTGTAGGGTCCTTGCGGGTCTCTGAAGTTGGTTGTTTATTTGCAAACGTTTCATGACCCAGTTAGGTAACATCATCTGTGCTAGGAGGGGTGTGGAAGGGATATGAGGAGGAGGACTGTAGCGCCCTTAGTGGTCTCTGAACTTGGTTCCTGCAGACATTTCATAGTCCAACTAGGTAATCTCATCAGTGGCAGAAGAGAGAGCGGTTGTCGGGAGGAGGAGTGGGGGAAAGAGGAAGAGAGGGAGGTGAAGGAGGACTGTAGGGTCCTTGGTGGTCTCTTAGCTTAACTGTTTTCCTGCAGATATTTCATAAACTAACTAGGTAACAACACCTGTGCTAGAAGGGAGGGGGAATAGGGGGGGAGGGGAGGAGGGAGAAAAGGGGAAGAGGAAAAGGAGGAGGGTGGGGAGGTGAAGGAGGACTGTGGGGTCCTTGGTGGTCTCTGACCCTGTTTGTTTTCCTGCAGACAATTCATAACCCAACTAGGTAACCACATCAGTGCTAGGACGGAAGCAGGCGTTCTAGCGTCCTCAGTGCTTATATTCTTACCTGGTTGGGTTATGAAATGTTTGCAGGAAAGCAACCAAACTCAGAGAGCGCAAAGGAGTCCGCATTTTCTTACTTACCTTCTTTCTTCTGAGTACAGGAAGTCCTCGATTTGCAACTGGTTGGTTAGTGGCTGTTCGAAGTTGTAATGATTCCCCCCACCCGCCCCAAAATAACCCTACATATAACCCAGATCTGAAGTTCTGACATCCGGGCATTTCCACCCCTGGTCGTGTGACTATGTCTTGCGTGCCCAGTAACTGGCCTGCATTACAGCCATTGACAATTATGGTCACACAATTGCAATTCATGATATTTTTGCTGGAAACTTGTTCCTGATAAATAAATAAACCCACATTTTATATATATATATATATACAGATAGTCTCAACATACAACCATTTTTCCCTAGTGATCATTTGAAGGTATAGTACTGAGAAGAAGAAAAAAGAACTTAGGATTGTTTTTCACACTTGTGACCGTTGCAACATTCTCATGGTCACTTGATCAAAATTTGAACCCTTGGCAACTGTCTCGTATTTATGACGGTCATAGTGTCCTGGAGTCACGTAATCCACTTTTGTGTCTCGAGAAGCAAAATCAACAGGATTCACATAGCAACCGTCTTATTAACAACTGCAGGGATTCATTTAACAACTGCGGCAATAAAAATGGGACAAAACTCATTGAACGGCTGCCTTGCTTAGTCGCGGAAATTGGGGGCTCAATTGTGGTTGTAAGTCGAGGATTATCGGGTTCATATACATACATATATGCAGCCTACATCAAAGCAAAATGGGTTCATTTAAGAAACATCATATATAGCTTTACAATGGCTTCGTTCTTCTTATGACCACCATGCTCACTTAATGACCAGTGCAAAAAAAAAAAGGTTGTCAAATCAGCTGTAAGCACAACAACCATCATGACTAATGCCCAAAATTGTGGGCTCAATTACCGTTGTAAATCGAGGACTGCCTGGAGCAGAATAGTTAGGGCAATAAAACGTTATTTCAGCAGTGCCATGAAATGCAATTTTTGTGTAGCACACCAGCGTGTTTTGCAGCTGCCATCTCCTGCCCCTGTGTAGACCTATCGCCATAGTCATTCTTGTTTTTTATTCCACCCCAATCAACAATTTCTCCTTTTTTTTTTTCCTTCCTGGCCTCGAAATGTTATGTTGCTCTCCGTATCTCTATTTCTGTGTTGAGTGACAAACCGGGAAATGCCTCAATCCCTAATGCAAACACACATGGATCATTGTGTCCTCTGAATGCACCATCCCGCCCCAGAATTAATCATTGTGGTCCCCACAAGACAGTAACAAATCTAAATATTTCTTTTATGCTTTCCAGTTTTGCGTGTTTCGCATTTTGATTCTGAGGTCTTTGGGTGTTTAGCTCACATTTTCTTGTGCGGATGGGAGTGAATCAAGCTGAATAATAGAATAGAATTATTTTATTGGCCAAGTGTGATTGGACGCACAAGGAATTTGTCTTTGGTGCAGATGCTCTCAGTGTACATAAGAACAAAAATAAAATACATTCATCAAGAATCATAAGATACAACACTTAGTGATAGTCATAGGTTACTAATAAACAGTCGAATCATGTTAGGAAACAAATAAAACAATATAAATTGTAAAGATACAAGCCACATGGTTATAATCATAAGTGGGAAGAGGAAGGTACTAGGAAGTGTTATTATAATCTAGCAGTCGAGGAACAATAGTAATATAGTCTTAGTAAATAAGTTGACAGTGTTGTGGGAATTGTTTAGCAGAGTGATGGCATCCAGGAAAAACTCTCCTTGTGTCCAGTTGTCCTGGTGTGCAGTGCTCTGTATAGCGTCATTTTGAGGGAAGGAGTTGAAACAGTTTATGTCCAGGATGTGAGGGGTCTATAGATATTTTCACAGCCCTCTTTTTGACTCCTGCGTATACAGATCCTCGATTGAAGGCAGGTGGGTAGCCATTGTTTTTTCTGCAGTCCTAATTACCCTCCGGAGTCTGTGTCTGTCCTGTTGGGTTGCAGAACCAAACCAGACAGTTATAGAGGTGCAGAGGACAGACTCAATAATTCCTCTGTAGAACTGGATCAGCAATTCCTTGGGCACTTTGAGCTCCCTGAGTTGGCGCAGAAAGAACATTCTTTGTTGTGCTTTTTTGATGATGTTTTTGATGTTAGGTGTCCATTTTAGGTCATGCAATATAGTAGAACCTAGAAATGTAAAGGTCTCTACTGTTGATACCGTGTTGTCCAGTATTGTAAGAGGTGGTAGTATGGGAGGGTTTCTTCTAAATTCTACCACCATTTCTACGGTTTTGAGCATGTTCAGTTCCGGATTGTTCCGGTGACACCACCAGGCTAGTTGTTCAACCTCCTGTCTGTATGCAGATTAAACAAAGAATTTAATGCAGAGCACATCCAAATAAAATTAATTATGAATGAAGGCAGATAGATATACATTTTTCCAGAATAATGTTGCAGGATCCAATCTGAGACCAGAGGTTCTGTCTTTTCCAAGCTTTTGAACTCTGCCGGAGCCCATTCCTTTTATAATATCAGTTATTATGGGATATTCTGTCCTTCATATTTATATGGTGCCTGGTTGTGAATGGCATTTTGGTTGTTGACTGGGGTATTGACGGCTAGCTATTAAGTCATTGGCTGTTGTTTCCTTTTGCTGCCAAGCCCTAAGTACTTTATAAGCCAGCAAACCAGCACTCCTGTTGACTGACAAGGGCCCCGTTTCCCAGCCTTCAATTATTTCCCTGGCTGTTTTTGTACCTATTCTGCCAACAATCTTAATAGCTGTGAAAGGGAATGTATGTCCTTGTTCATTTGATTCACCCACAGCTGGTGACTTGGCAGCACAAGGAAACAACAGCCAACAACTTAGTAGTTGGCCATCAGATAACAGAAAATTAGAGTTGGAAGGGACCTTGTAGGTCATCTAGTCCAACCCACTGTCCAAGCAGAAGACCCTACACTATTTCTGACAGATCTCTTCTTGAAAGCTTCCAAGGATGAAGCTCCCACAACTTCCGAAGGCAACTTCTGTTCCATGGGTTGATGGTTCTTCCTGTCAGAAAATTCGTCCTTATTTCTAGGTTAAATCTCTCCTTGTTCAGTTTCCATTCATTATTCCTTGTCTGGCCTACAGGCGGTTTGGAAAATAGCTTGACCCCTTCCTCCCTGTGACAGCCCCTCCAATATTGGAAGACCGCTATCATGTCTCCCCTGGTCCTTCTCTTCTCTAGACTAGCCATGCCCAGTTCCTGTAACCCGTTCTTCATATGTTTTAGCCTCCAGTCCCCTAATCATCCTGGTTGCTCTTCTCTGCACTTTTTCTAGAGTCTCAACATCCTTTTTTATAGTGTGGTGACCAAAACTGGATGCAGTACTCTAGGTGTGGCCTTACTAAGGCTTTATAGAGTGGTATTAGTACCTTACCTGATCTCAATTGTATCCCTCTGTTAATACAACTTAGGGTTGCATTGGCTTTTTTGGCTGCTGCTGCACACGGCTGGCTCCTATGTAGCTGGTTGTCCACTAAGACTCCAAGATCCCCCTCAATGGCCGTTGCAGCATCCTTATGATCACAGGATCAAAATTCCAGCACTTAGCAACCGACTCATATTTATGACAGTTGCAGTGTCCCGGTGTGTGTGCGTGTCACACAATCCCTTTTGCGACCGTCTGACAAGCAGTCAGTGGGGATTCACTTAGCAACCGTGTGATTAATGTTACAACTGCAGGGATTCCCTTAACAAACTCTGGCAAGAAGGGTTGCAACATGGAGTAAAATTCACTCAGCAAATGTTTCGCTTAATCATGGAAATTTTGAGATCAGTTGTGGTCACAAACTGACTACTTATCCAAAAGAGTCTAAATAGGAAACTTCCTGAAATGTAAAAAAAAAAAAAGTGCAGATTGAAGTTGCAAATCTCCGATAAAGTAGAGGAACTGAAAGAGTTTTGGAAAACAGGAAAGGATTTGAATCTTTCCATATGGAGGCAAATAGGCTGGGAAAATATTCTAATA